ACCTGGAGGGGCAGAAGTGTTCAGGGCTGGATCTAAACCAGAGAGGCTTTAAAGTAGGGTTGTCACGATACTAAAATTTTCAACTCGATACCGATACTCAAGGATTAAAAAAAGACCCCAAAATTCAAATGAATTTTGACAGGTTAGTGTCTTTCATTTCAAACTGACCTGTTACTAATGTTATCGTGACTGGTGGCCTGCATTAATGACCATAACCCTAACCCTAACCCTAACCCTAACCCTGACCCTAACCCTAACCCTCCACCTTTCATAATTGTGAGAAATAAATATTTTTTGGTTAAACTCGTTTGGACTTATTGTACAAACCTATTTAACATCCACTAAGATTAATTTCACAATTTTTAAATGAATCTCTATATTGCCATGAGGCAATCAGGATTTTCTTGCCTGGAATCTTCCTATTGTTAATGTAACTATAATGGCCGACTTGGATATGGGCGGAGTGGGATATGTACTTGATTAATGGTAGCACGTTATTATTAGCCATTAGCGTAAGCTAGCAGTTCAAGGCTAACGTCTTGTTAATGACCATAAACAACGTAAATAAATACATAAATAAATCTGAGAGAAGGGGCGCGGTGGTATGGATACTTTTGAAAATGAGTATCGTATCCGGATACGACGTTTTAGTATCAATACTTTTTTGAGTATCCATACTTTTGACAACTCTACTTTAAAGTGAGAAACAATAAAATGGAGGAACACTGGAACTTACAGCAGGCTGAAGTGGAGGCAGCGGGGTCTCAAACTGAGGCGTGATCAACTGCAGGGGCTCGTTTTTCACATTTAGCTGCTTATAAGCACTAAGGGAGAGAGAAAGAGGATGAATGACAAATTAAATACAAGAAAAACAAAGCAAAGACTGACTAATCTGTTAGTAATTGATACAATTTATTAGAAATTCTTTTTTTTTTTTTAAAAGAGCTCATGCTTGTCTTGTTTTCTGTATCAGTGCTGTATAAGTTTTTCCTCGTTTTGTTCTTTCCTTTTCTGTTTTTGTATAAATGTTCAAAAATACCTAATAAACATAATTCATAAAAATAAAATTTAAAAAAAAAAGTAATGTTCAAACTACCACACAGGGTTGTGACTTGTGACTGAAGTTGACAGAATGTCTCGAGTAATTTTGAAACAATTATTCAAATAAAAACTTGCTAAAGTTGTAAATGTACTGTAAAGGAAGCTAAATGCCCCAATCTGAGTTGAAAGCATTTGTGGTTGTCCTGAATTATGTACATTTGGATTTGACATCATGTTGAGTATTTTACCACGGACATACGGCGTTATCTATGAGGAATTGTGTGTGTGTTGGCCATCTTAAACAATAATTGAATAAAATAAAACCCACACAAACTGCCAAAAAAAAAAAAAAGATCATGTTTGAATCTGATGGCAGTGAAGCATCTGGAGGTGACAAAAGTAAACAGCTTTCAGACCTAATCTGGTCACTCATGAGGCTATAAAGAGAGATTCTGCCTCTGAGATAATCTGGTTCAGTACGGTAAATAATACAGAAGAACTTCTGCTTCTGATGCATAAATATACAAATTTTCCAACATCCAAAGTGAAATTCGATCAAATATTCGACTCGACACCCGAAGGAAATTTCCAATGTGATGTCGAAGTCATAGAAAAATATATATCAAATATAAAAATAAAATAAAAATAAATAAGTTAGTTTAAAGTTGAGGTAGTTAGTTAGTGTAAGTTAGGGTTGGTCCTGTATCTCAGTCTCCACCTCTACCTCCTAATGCTAATGCTAATGCTAATGCTAATGCTCGTGTGGGGTGAACTTTTTGAAAAGATGCAAATCCAGACTCCAGATCCAGTTTTTTTTAGCATCTGTAACCCACAGGTCTGTGTCCTAACCATTAAGTTGTTTAAACTTTAAATCCCTGTTCAACATGAGTCTGACAACTAAGTAAGCAGATAAATAACTTTAGACTTTAACCCTTTAAAGCCTGATCCCAGAATAAAACAAAACAGAAAATTCCTTTTTTTTTTGTTTGAGTTCCTTATTTGGCCTTTTAACAAAATATGTAAAAAGAAAAAACAAAACTAATTTTTCAATATTAATCATTTATTACTATGCGATAAGTCAAGATTATGTTTTGTGTAGTCTTCTGCCCCCTGTTATCAGGTATATCTAATTGTGTTCAATAGGATTTTGAGCAAAGTTTTTACCATTAAATTATGCAAAAGGAGTCAGACGCAAAACATTTCAGAAACCGTATGAATCAGATATGATACATTTGTCATTACAGGGTTAACACATGCTCTGATAGGCCGGGATTGGAAAACCAGGCTACTTTCTGTACTCAATAAAGAAAAAAAAACTGTTTCAAATCTCGCGGCAGCTATTCTGGGGTTTGATTCGGAAACCGTATGAATCAGATATGACACATTTGGCATTACAGGGTTAATACATGCTTTCATAGGCCGGGATTGGAAAAACCAGCCGACTTTCTGTACTCAATAAAGAAAAAAAAAACTGTTTCAAATCTCGCGGCAGCTATTTCGGGGTTTGATTGATCCGGAGCCTGACCTGATGACCTGCGGCAGGGTGCCGGTGGACAGGTTGAACAGGGCCGTGTCGAACAGGGAGGTGAAGTCTCTGGGGTTCTCGTCCCCCTCCTGAAGACAAACCCGCAGCTGCTCCGACAGGCAGCCGGCGTCCGGAAGCAGGCTGTAGTCCGAGATCTGAGCAGGGGAAAAGCCAGGAAAAGAGACGGGGAAAAGCCAGGAAAAGAGACGGGGAAAAGCCAGGAAAAGAGACGGGGAAAAGCCAGGAAAAGAGACGGGGAAAAGGCAGGAAAAGAGACGGGGAAAAGCCAGGAAAAGAGACGGGGAAAAGACAGGAAAAGAGACGGGGAAAAGGCAAAGTTGAGCCAGTTACCAACGCAGTTACACTGGGGGAATGCTAATGCTAAGGCTAACGCTCGTGTGCGATCGGACGTAAAAAAATATCCAAATATCGGACCGGGACCAGCCTAAGATAGTCTTTTTTGTGAGCAACTTTTTTTATTGCTTTTAAAGAGAAACGGGTACATTAGTCCGATAAGGGTAAGAGGGGTATATTGCAACCTAATACAACAACTTTAATTTCCTGAGGCATTCTTCCCATGGGATCAATAAAGTACAAGTCCAAGTGTAACAGAAAAGAACACATAAAAAAATAAAATAAAAATAAAAAGGAAACCAGGCGGTGACCCCTCAGCTTGGATCTCTATAGAACTCTTACAGGACCTAAGAGACTATATTCCAACAACATACAGTGGGGGAAATAAGTATTTGAGCCCTTGCTGATTTTGCAGGTTTGCCCACTTACAAAGAATGCTTATTTTTCCTCATCAGATGGTGATCAATTTTTATAAATTCATATGATGTGATTTTCTTGGATTTTCTTTGGGATTCTGTCTTTCACTGTTAGAATGTACATATGATTAAAGTTATAGATCGTTGCATTCTTTGTAAGTGGGCAGACCTGCAAAATCAGCAAGGGGTCACATACTTATTTCCCCCACTGTATATATATATGACTTAGACTTCGACTGTACATAAGCATTTTTTCTGTGTGAATTTATTTTATTTTTTTAATATGAATATGTTTTACTTTTAATATCCATTTCATATTTTGTGTATTTTTTTATTAACTCATTGGCTGCCAAAGACGTCTATAGAGGTCTTTTATGTTTTTCAACGAGAGTGTCTGGGGGACGATCTGCTAAAGCTTGTCTGTAAATATGGGCTTCTAGACAGAGTATGTAGTAACAAATTGACCCTCTAGGGGGCAGTGCCACTTTTGATGGGAGATGAGCATAGACTGTAGGCAAATAAGAAAAAG